TTGGTTATTTGCACTTTTGGATACTTTGTCCATTTTTGTATAAAGAAAATAATAACTTCATGAAATTTTTATTCAAAGTGTTTAAAATACAATTTTCATGACCCCATTAATAAAAAAATAAAGATTTTTCTTGATGTAACTAGTTCTCTACGATAAGTTTAATATCTGTCTTCAAATTGTATTTGTCATAATTGGAGAACTGGGTTTCTCTTATATTTTCCATAATTTCAGAATCATTTAACGTTTACAATAGTGTTAAAAAAATTACACAGAAATGGTATTTTCCTGACCTACTTTTCGTTACTTTTTGCTTTTTTGTCTTAGTTTACACTAAAAAGCCTACTGCTTTTTTTTATAAAACAATACCCATCATATTTCAATATTTTTTCTTCTTGCAAAAGTAAACTTTTATCTTGAGAAATTTGTGATGTGGGTCTAATAGAAAAAAAGTATATGGTAAATAATATGCACATTTTGAAACTTTTGCATACTAAAAAAGGTGCGACTTTTCAGACCTTGTAAAATTCTGATAATCAAAAATCAGTCTAGACAAAAGTTTTACTATACAGTAAATTTTTAGCAATATATATTTGATTGCTATAAATGCTTAAAAAGAGCCTAAGAGTTTTTAAAAGTACCAAAATATAGCGGAGGTTTTTTTCGGTTTCCATAACAACCGAAATTGTTTTCAAACCTTTTACAGTTTAGTACTTACTTTCATGTGCCACACATGATAAAAAATATTTAAAAGGCCTTTGATCTAAAATTGTAAAAAAAACAAAAAACCTGAGGATATCCCATTAATGTGACATATACTTAGATCAGCTTATTTGTTTTACATTTTTATGAACCACTACCACTTCACGTGAACTAAAATAATTTGTAAACGCTTATGTTATTTAAAACGTGAAAATTTAGATAAAATGTTGATAGAGCGATTCTAAAAGAGGAAACGGAGTAAATAAAAAAATACAAAACGAAACCATATAAAGTAACATTTAGTATAACCAGATCGTAAATTATCGAAGCAAAGTATCTTGAGACATATTTGGTCAGAAGCGTGTACGTAACACAGACATAGTTTTACAAAAATTCATAAAGCAATGTTAAAACATTAAAATTAAATACAGGCTGTAAGAGTAAAATGTCCCACCTGTTTGACAGTTCTATGATAACATCACAATATAACAGAATGCATTTTAAAAACGTGTTAATCCAAGGCAGATATTCACCTTCTGGGTATTATAGGGACATTCATAGATTGTATAAAATTGGTTACATTATATGGTACCTTGTAAACTTTTGTAATGTTTTGCTTATTTTTGGTCATTTAGTATTGGTGCCTATGCCTGTAGTCGACGCGTGTAAACTCTGCATTGACAAATTTTCATGGTCACAGGGAAGTAACGATGCAAATATTTCACATATAATAGAATTGTATGGTCGTCTTTCTTCTTAATTAAATTCAGAGGCATAATTTATGCTGCCAACGTTATAGCAAACATGTATAAAAACAACACCAAAGATGATGGTATCAAATCAGCAGAAATGAAATCGTATTAAACCTTACAGAAAGAGTCTTCAAGTGGCTATTAATACAATAGTGCCAAGCTGGGTAGCCGGTAGCCTAAAAGGTTAGGTTAAAAAGTGCCCATATCGTTTGGTTTCTTTGAGACAAAACAATGCATTTGAAAGTTTACAACTGAAATTTTAAACAAAACTTTAACACGTTTTTCTCTGCCGCCCACGAATAAAGCTTAATTTTCCGGCCAGCTTAAGAAGATGTTACAGTGAGAGGGTGGGGTGGGGAATTGAAGACAATTTCTATTAGGATGAGACAATAGAAACAGCTTTATCAGAAAGAGAAATAAAACGGGAGTGATCTCCCCTAAACTTTCTCGAATATTCTTATATAACTTGGAATATAGACATGATTTTTAATCACTTAAACTTTTAAAAATAGAATAGAAACTCATAGAAAAAAGAATTGCGCATCAAGCGAACGCCAAAACAAAATGTGCATAATAGTGCGCAATATTATTAGTACTTTATAAATTTACATGCTTTTTGAGAAATCGGAAATAGTACTTGCGGTCAACGGAAATTACTCGAAATTTGATAGAATGTAGAGAATTAAATCGTTCACATACATGTGAAATTTCATTTATCTTTCTGAAATAGTACTCAAATTATAGGCTTTTGAAAAATTCAAAGTAGAAAAAGTACCACTTCCGGTTATCGAAAATGTAAGTATAAGATCTAATTTTCTACCTTCTGTCAAATTTTGAGTAATTTCCGTTGACTGGAAGTAGTAATTTACGCTACTTCCGATTTCTCAAAAACCTAATTTAAATTTTTAAAGTACTAATAACATTGCGCACTATTATGCACTTTTATTTGGCGTTCACTTGATGTGCAATTCTTTTGTCTACGAGATTTTATTCTATTTTTAAAACTTTAAGTATTTAAAATGGATTAAAAATCATGTCTATAGCCCGAGTTCCCATCCCCTGTTATTTTATATAAGAATATTCGAGAAAGTTTAGGGGAGATCACTCCCGGTTTATTTTGTTTTGTTTCTGTTATTATTTTGGTTGTCGGTGTTGTATTTTGTTGTGCATTGTTTTTTTGCGTTGTGTTTTTAATTTCATGTATTTTTTTTCTCTCTTTGTGACTAGTGTACTTTCCTTATGCCTATATTGCGTAGCGTTTTTCGTTTTGGCATCCCCCGAAGAAAGTCTACCGGCCCCCCCTCCCCCCCCCCCCTCCCGAGATAGAATTTATATAGTAAACATATACTTTTACTAGTGTCCGCCCCCAGGAGAAAAAAGTCTGGAAGAAACACTGAGTCTATGAAATGCAGTGGGAAACTTTCCCCTATTCATTAAGCCCCCACCCCTCTCCGATAATGTGCTTCCATTACAATAGCTGTAGCCCACACTTTCAAAACGATTAGCGTCTAGCATCATCACAGTGAGGTGTGGACGGCGCAAAAAGATAATACCAAAATAATTGATAGGCCTAGACACTAGACTCTCTATCCGCGCAATCCTGATCAGTAAAAATTGTGAAGTAAATCCAATGAACTGAACTTTTTGTTATTTGGAAAATACCTTTTGCTTCTTTTGGAGGGATTATTCACGCTTTATCGTGTAGGTGCTCAGTGGTTCTTAGTCATGCAACTCTACTCCATGAAAAAATTTGAAGTAGGGAAAAAATAATAAAGATCGTTTAAATAAGCTTTTATATACTAATGCACTAAAAACTAAAAAAATGAGTTTCTTAAAATATATAGTAATACATTACTATTTAAATAACTATAAAGAAAAGCGTGGGTCTCGAATGACGAGTGGTAAATATTAGTACAGGTACCAAATAGATAATAAATTGACCAGCACTTTTCTTTATAGTTATTTATTTAAATCATCTCTTTCTTTATGGAGCTTGTATTTGTTGCCGTTGACAACCTGTTATTAGGCAGCTTCGCCACGGTTGATTTTTTAGCTGACTGACTCGAGTGGGTGTGGTCGGTTTCCTGATACTCGGTGTATCACCTGGCTCTGCGCTATGTTTGTCACTACAGTTCAAGTCATCCTTCATCGTACTGTCTTTGGCCTCGTGTGCACAGCCGGCACCTCACTTCCCATCTACACACTGAGTGAGGCCGAACTTTTGACACTGAGAAAGTAATCAAGTTATTTGGTATTTTAACATTTTCAGAAACCATAAATAGAGTGAAATACCACTTCCAGGTATCTAAAGTCACTCAAAAATTGAAAGTATTAGATCTATTTTACTTAAACATACATGAAATTTCGTTTACATAACTAAAACTGTTCTCAAGTTATTGTATTTCCACAGAAACAAAATAACACTTCAAATAACCAGAAATCGTTCAAAATTTGGCTAAAACCTACGCATACTTGTAAGTAAAATTTAATGTACCTAACTTTTTTTAAAATGGTACTTAAGTTATCGGCTTTCAAGAGACCCAAAGTACATAACATACCACTTACGTTAACCTGGTGTCCAGTGGCGGAACTAGAAAAAAAAGGGCCACCCCGCAAAAAAATTTTTAGGCCCCTCCCCATATATATATATATATATATATATATATATATATATATATATATATATATATATATATATATATATATATACCACACAAGGTACGAACATAAGATACTCATTGCTTGCCTGTTCGGGTTTTGAAAAAAAAAATGTTTTGTTTATCAATTAAAACAAATTAGAAAATCATGTCATGTGTGTAAGTGCATTAGTGTGTTTTGTGACAATCAGTTTTATTTTATCTCAGCTATAAGACCTCCTAACCTCTAGACCTAGACGGTCAAAAGAATATAAAACACGAAAGCTTTGTATAAGTAATGGTGTATATTATTAATGCAAAATACATTTCCTTTTTGTACAATGTCATTCTTTAGGAAGTACTTTATAAAAAAAATAATTAAGAGAAGTAATTGCCTTTTAATTTGTTTAGTACAAATCTATTAACAGGAACTTATGAGCACCCATATTTTACTATTTAAAAAAGGGACACAAGTCATGGAAGTGGTTTGAAAGTTTGCTTATCTTTGATAAGTTTGATTATAGGAGAAAAAGGACTCGGCTTTCACAGTGGTTTAAAAACAAAGGGAAAAATAATATAGAAGAGCGTGGGGTGGTGTCTGTAGAATAAAGATAATCCAACCGCAGCTATGGTAATCTTTTTACAAAACAACCATCAACTTCAAGTCAAAATGCAAGATATTTCAAAAAATATAACTATAAAAAAAATTATTATGGTCGGCTGTGGGCCCCTAAATGGCGTGCCCTCTGCTGATGTCGTTCAAATGTTGACAGAAAACTTTATGAAGTTTTGTCTGCATAAATGAAATGGTACTCAAGTTATTTTGTTTACTGAAACACACCACACCCACCACACCACCCACCACACCACAGACCCAAACACACCATACACAGCACTGCTCTAAACTCTGTAAACAAGAAAGTAAAAAGATAAGTGTCTGGTCATTCTGGATTTATTTCGGTAGAGAATTTTAAATTATGTTCAATGAAATGTGAGGAATCAGTAATACATTTACTGCATTACATAAAAATTTTAAGGCTTCTCTCCATGATGAATTCTAAGGTGTGTATTAACATTACCAAAATAGGTAAAACATTTACCACATTGGTCACACTTGTACCGCTTCTCTCCTGTATGAATTAAATTGTGTTGCTTTAAGCTACACAATTGGGTAAAACATTTACCACATTGGTCGCACTGGTACGGCTTCTCTCCTGTATGAATTGAATGGTGTTGCTTTAAGCCACATGATTGGGTAAAACATTTACCACATTGGTCACACTTATACGGCTTCTCTCCTGTATGAATTAAATGGTGTTGCTTTAAGCTACGCGAATGGGTAAAACATTTACCACATTGGTCACACTTATACATCTTCTCTCCTGTATGAATTAAATTGTGTTTCCTTAAGCTACGCGAATGGGTAAAACATTTACCACATTCGTCACACTTGTACGGCTTCTCTCCTGTATGAATTAAATGGTGTTGCTTTAAGTTACGCAAATGGGCAAAACATTTACCACATTCGTCACACTGGTACGGCTTCTCTCCTGTATGAATTAAATGGTGTCTCTTTAAGCTACTCAAATGGGTAAAACATTTACAGCATATGCTACATGTGTAACGCTTCTCTCCTGTATGAATTCTATGATGAGAATTCAAACTACCAACGTGGCTAAAATATTTACAACATATGCTACATTTGTAAGGCTTCTCTCCTGTATGAATTATAACGTGCCTCCGTATTCGATCAAGAGTTGCAAAACATTTACCACATTGGTCACACTTGTAAGGCTTTTCTCCTGTATGAATTTTTAAGTGATAATATATTTCAATACGAGTTGTAAAACATTTCCAACATTGGCCACATTTGTAAGGCTTTTCTCCTATATGAATTAAAAGGTGCACTTTTAAATATTTGAGTGTTGTAAAATATTTACCACAATTGTCACACTTACAATGCTTTTTCCCTTTATGAATTCCATGGTGCTGATAATACTTATTAGATAACTGATTAGAATGTTCACTAGTGTCAACTGTGAAATCTAGATTCTTATTGTCAAGGTTTTCCCCTTCATGTTTGTATTTCAAATGCAAATTATAATGGGAGAGTGTTGAAAAATCCAATCTGCAGTGCTGACATTGATAGATATCTGTAAAATATTTTCATAAATATATATGACAACATTAGAGGAACAGACATGGTGTGGCCAAATTATAGAGTGTATGACTGCTAACCAAAGTGTAAAGTGGGGTCAGTAGGACGTCCAGCTAGGATGGGTACCTAACTGACAGTAAGGAAAGTAAAAGTGAATGGGCATATGGCTGACCACTTAATCCTTTTTTTGCGCAAACAGGTAAACTCCACTTCATCTGCCCCATGGATCGCCAGCTCAAAAAGGTTAACTTTTTAAATGTACTGTTTAAAAACTATACCAAGTAGAGCTAATTAACAGTATGGCAGAGAATAATATTTGTTAGACATTTGCTTCGCTATTATTTTGTATCGTCTGATAAAGTCTAGCATGAATTGTTAAAGTTATTGTCATGCGGTAGAACAAATAGATTTTTAAAGATATTGGTATTGTTAGATAGCAGACATGTATGTACTGAAAAATAGTCAATTAAATAAAAATAAATGAGTAAACTTTATTTACCACAGTCGTTATTCATAACACCAATCCTCTGTACCTGAATACCCAGGTCTCTGGTATAGTTGTCACCATGGTACATCTGAAAATTTCAGAATACTAAACTATACTAGTTAACTGTAACAAAAACATTCATTATAACAGATGGTGTGGAACTGCTAACCAAATCACAGTATTTTATTATACATTGATGGTCAATTTTTAAAAATTGCAACTATAGACACAAGTCTAAAAGCTAATAAACCTCTGAAAACATAATATACCATATACACTTGAATGCTTATCAGTGGCAAAACAAGAAGAAAAAAGGGCCCTACTTCACCCCCTGAAACAAATTTTTATCAGCCGTTTTATTATATACTAGCCATCGTTACACGATACACGTGATTTAAAGGCCTATATATTTTAAATGTTATACTCATTTGAGAAAAATAATTTGTAAAGTAGTTATTTGTAAAAACTCATTGTGCTTAAGCACACATTTAACTATATTAGTGACAAAGAAAGAAAATAATATAAAATAACATAGGCTACTTATCTATTTATCACTCTGAAATAAAAGTAGGACTGAGGGTGTAATAAAATTAATACAATTATTTTCTTGATTTAAATTGCTGTTTTAATTATAAATCAGGTTTTGCTTTTCATTTTTTATTTAAAAGCTGAACAAAACTATATTGCTTACTAATTATTATTATTTATATCACTACTTTCGGTCACTATTAATAGAACTTAAAAGATTTGCTTACATTCAATATTTCAGTTAGGTTTGTGTTACACAGGGTTCCTACACCAAAGTGAACTTAAAATTCCAGGAGTTTTTCAGGAGAAAAACCAAAATTTCAGGACATAATTTAACTACTCAACACCTCCACCCCCCTTTGCTATTGAGAAACATATTAAGCCTAGCAATCATAGCCATACCTCAGTGTCAAGTGTCTGAACCCCTCCCCACCTCACCAATGTCAGCCTCCGTACTAACAATGTCAATAATAATAAACAGAACTGCTGAAACCATGATTTATCTTTTAAAAATGGACATGATATATTGATTTAAATGGAAGTCTTCAAAAGTAAATATCCTAACTGTAATTTTAGCTTTTTACCATTTGATGAACAAGTATATCACCTGAGTAGCTTAGATATAGCCTACTGGAAATAAACTACTTTGGAAATAAAACATTTCCGACACAAATAGAATATAGTTTTCTGATAAGTAACCTCAAAGTTTGTTTTTTTAATTGCCAGTAGCGTATCTCTTCCCCCCCCCCCCCCCCCAGCTAGACATGGTAGTGCAGGGTCAGTTTGAGTTCATCTAAGCTTACGGTGGGCCTGTAGTATACTGCTGATGACATCACTAGCGGGTCACACAGAGTTCACTTCATATACCCAACCAGTGCTTTCCCCCAGCTTCCTCCACCCCGCCTTGGGAAAGAAACTGAGATGCGGGATGGGAGGGTAGTAGTATTACAACAACAACATGCATGTAAACAGAAATTAGAATAGGGCCTATCGGACTATGTTACAAATTAGCTGGGCAAAAAACTAGATTTGAGCCTACTTGAAATTTGTAATTACAAAAATAAAGAACTCCGGGCTTATCAAACTGAGCCGCACTCATAGAAGTGAGAAAAAAATTAAACCAAACCTACAGGTTAAAGACAGCTACAGGACTATATTTTAAAATGTGTGCCATGTATGCGCAGAATCGACAAAGCAGAACATTTTACTGGGGGTGGTCAGATCTGATTACCTAGATATCTAACGCACGAAAAAAATATACGCTAAAATTATCCATGCGAGTAAAATTTCAGGACATTTTACTAAATTTCAGGACATTTTACAAAATTTCAGGAGAAATCCAGGAGTTTTCTGGATTTTTAAAATACAAGGAGAATTCCAGGACATCCTGAAATTTCAGGAGGCCGCGGGAACCCTGGTTACAATACTTTAAGTTGGATTCCTTTATTGTTTTGGTAGACTTACAAGTTTAAATGGGTATGATATTAAGTTTAGGTGGAGATTGGGTGAGTGTTATTAAATCTCCAAAAGATAAAAAAATAGTTTTGGTTTATCATACTGCTCCATTAAGATATTAGAGTCTTAAAAATAAGGAATGTAATTTTTAATTAATCAAGTGATTTGTGTGTAAACAACATGTTAATTACCCAATGTCATTTTTTACTCCCTTTTGTTTATTACCAATATCTCAAACTTGATTAAGAATGTCTATTTGGTAATATTATTTATTAATATTATCTAATATTAACCTTTTTCTGGCAAATGACATTCTGGCAAGTGACTTTCAGGCAAATGTCTATTCAGCCATTTGCTGCATTCCCCAAGTGTACATTCTTGAAATTGGCCTTCTCGCAAGTGTCTTTAAGGAATTTATCGTAGACCCAACTACACAAAAATTGTATGGACAAAGTCGGTACAGGTAGACAGCCCTGCATTTTACTTTATACCATTTTTGTACTAATTCCCCTTTATTATTATACTTGACCCACCAGAGGTACAAGTATTAGAGACCAGGCGAGGGATATAATGCAGGTTGTGGTTATAATCAGTTATAATCTCAAAGCAGCAGTGGTATTTTACCTCTGAATCTGTTTCAATTTTAACAGGGACATGTTCAGTGCAGTATCCTGTGTATTCCATGTTGCCCACAGCATAAACTGAAACACAAACGTCAACCATTTAAACCACAGACTAGGTAGAATGTAGTTGCACAACAAAGTGCCTTATCAAGTATTTTGCATACATACATCAATACTATTTTTAAAAATCAGATGTCAATGTTTTGAGCTTTGTTAGTAGTGGTAGGATCTACTATCATTAACTGATTTAAGCAAAAACAGAAGCTGCACCCTATTGGTTATATAGGCAAAGTAAAAGTGACCTCTAATAAGTTATGACAAATAACATAATAAAAAGTGACACTTGCAGAATTATTGACACTCAGATGTAATAGTAAAACTTTTAATAGAGATGAACTCATGGGCATTTTGTGAATTTAATTTCATAATCAGTCTTAACGGCAGTCAATATATGAGTAACCTTTTACTAATTAGGCCTAGGCCTACTAAAGTTTAATGAGTCACCTTTTTTTTAACACTATACAAGCCTAAAACCATAGATTACCACTTCTTAAAGTCGTAAGTATTATTACGAAGTGACTACTCAGAAAAAGATTTTTTGCCCCAACGTCTCCACTTAGTCAGCAAAAGATATCTCTGCGCATGCGCAGTGACCTACGGCTAAGGTTAGGGCATAGGGGTCTGCGGTTGTAAACACATGCATGCGCATTACCATCGAAAACATCGCCATGAAGGCAAGTCGTAGTTTCTCTCCATTGCGCATGCGTATCTTTTTCCGGCTATTATTATTAATTAATTTTCTATTTAATAATTAAATCGATTAGGCCTATTATTAATTATTTAGTTCGATCTAGATTTCTAGTAGATTCTAGACCTAGAATCTGTGCCTAGGCCTAGATTTCCATATCTAGAATTTGTAGAATCTAGATTATTCTAGATAGATCTAGAATTTATATAGATTTCTAGATCTAGTATAGATAGACCTAGGTCTAGGTCTTTGCTTTTAGATCTAGAATCTAGATCTATTAGTCAATATTACTATAAATTATCTAGATTCTAGATCTAACTAGAATCGGTAATCGGTAAAACTCCATTTTAGCGTAATTTATTCTCCGTTGCTTGTTTACCTCCAGTTGAGCGTATTTTATTATAATAACCGAAACACACCAAAACATTAGAAAAACACGATTTATTTTTTGTATTGTATTTCTGTTTTCACAAATGAATAAAATGAATGTTTAAAAAACACGACTTATTTATTTGTATTGTATTTTTGTTTTAATAAATGAATAAAAAACAACAAAGAGACTGACTGAAGTGATTTGTTTGTTGGTTACAAAATTGGAGATGCACACTTTGTACAATTAAGTGTTCCAATTTCAACTAAACTGAATAAAAGTATTAAAAGGCACAATGATGCTGCCGAAAGTGGGCCGAGGGGGGGGGGGGGGGGTGGAATTTGGTGAGGGATTGCTTGGAGTGTTAGAGAAAGTGTGACAACTCACGTTGTCATTTTAAAAAAAAAAATAATGTTAGAGGTCGTCCATAAATGACGTCACACTCGTAGGGGGGGGGTCTTGCTTTTTGTGACGACACGCTTTTTTTTACGAGTTTTACCTCTCCCCTCCGTCACACGTCGTCACAAAAAGTCAGACCCCCCCTAAAATGACGTCACACCTCAGCCGACAACCCCCCCCCCCCCCCCCGCTCTCAAAATTTCTGTTGAATTTTTCTTAAAACATGGATAATTTTTCCAAAATCTTGTCAGAACTCTGTCAACATAGAGTATTTTGATCAATTCATATTACAATTTATTAAAACCGTTTTCTAAAACGCGAAATAACGGCTAAATCTTGTTTTTCTAACATTGCTTTTTTATAATGCAAAAAAGGAACGTCACACCATCTGAAACCCCCACCCCCTCCCCCTCATCACACACCGTCACAAAATTGCTGACCCCCCTCTCCCTTACGAGTGTGATGTCATTTATGGACGACCCCACATCAATTTTTTTTTTAAAGTCAGAAATTTACTCATACAAAAAAAGGAAGGATGGTAGATTTACTATGAATTTAAATAACATACAACTCTATAGTAAAATATTTTTTTCAGTTTTAACAAAACTGTCAAATTAAAAAACACAGAGTTTGTACATTTATTGCATACATACAAAAATATAAAACAGAATGATTAACAGTGTATCAGTTTCACCATGAGACAAATGCCTTTTTTTTAAGTACAATACAAATAAACAAGTCGTGTTTTTTAAATATTCATTTTTATTCATTTGCTAAAACAAAAATACAATACCAAAAATAAATCGTGTTTTCCTGCCTAATGTTTTGGTGTGTTTCGGTTGTTATAATAAAATACGCTCAACTGGAGGTAAACAAGCAACGGAGAATAAAATACGCTGAAATGGAGTTTTACCCGGTAATCTATCGTTTTAGTTAGTAGGGCCTAATTTAAATACTAGTAACAGTAGGCCTACTTACTTACTACTTACTACTATTACTAGTAACTACTAACTACTTACTTATTTATAAAGTTAAAATCTAGATCTAGATTATTCTAGTAATCTGAAAAACAGCTGACTCCTTAAATTTTAATAATTATTTCACATTTTGAGGATATATGTTTCCTTGTTCCATTTATGTACCTGTTTTTAAACAATTGAATTAAAAGTTTTCAGTAATAAATGAAGACTAGCGATGTTTCCAACAGATGCAACCATGGTCATTTACTATAGCAGCCATCTTGTTTATTTTCTTTTTGTAAAGATTCAGGGGAAGCCACTCTAACTTACAGATAGCCGCATTTTATATAGTAAATTCTGCTCGCAAACACTGCTGTTAAGTTAATTTCTTGCCTATATTGTCAAACTAGGCATGCTGCCCAGAGTTTCTTCCAGGCATCTCTTGGGGGGGGGGGGGGCAAAGCATCCCCGAAAATTTTTTACCGCCCCCCCCCGAACGAAATAAAATTTATATAATGTATATAGAAAATAAACAGTGTCCGCCCCCCCCCCCCGAAGAAAGTCTACCGCCCCCCCCCCCCGAAAATTTCAAGTGCCCCCCCCCCCCCCCCCCCGGAGAAAAAAGTCTGGAAGAAACACTGATGCTGCCCAGCTTCGCTTAGGCTTTCGAAAACATTGAGAATTTGAATGCTTAATTAATTCGCCCGAGGGTCGGTCTATGACCTCAGGAGTTATGAAGAGGTTCCTAGGTCAGGGGACGGCAACCTTTTGATACGCAAGAGCCAAAAGGTACAATTTACAAACTTTCTCAGTTTTTAAAGAGCCACAACATTTTTAGTACAATATTCGGTATTAGATTAGGGTTAGGTAAATAGAGATGATTTGTTATTTGAAATAAATAGCTTTAAATATGATATAATATTTATTCATATAAAAACATAGACATGTTTCACCAGAATAGTAAAATTAGTAATCAAATAATATTATTCTTGGACTATCTCAATGTACTTTAGAAGCTGTTAATTTTTATTTTATTTTTTCTTTACGGATATCACCGGCTCAGGATGTGTCTCCCATTAGCCAGACAGGCCTCAACATGGCAAACACCGACTAACTAACTTGGATATCGGTTTGAATAGCTTGCATCGTTCGCTTCTATCCTTTGGTTCTCACCAGGCTTATCTTCCATCCCACTGAACGCAGGGTAAAGTCGTACCCCACCGTCCAGTAAAATTGAAATTACATAACTATTAATATTTTTGCATGGAGCTGGAGAGCCGCATCTGGATGTCAAAAGAGCCGCATGCGGCTCGCGAGCCGCAGGTTGCCGACCCCTGTCCTAGGTGAACATTTTTTTCGATTTATAGCTCATATAAGGCGCCGGTCAGTCGAGGTCAGTTTTGACCCCCTCATCGTAGACTTTTCGGCCAACCGGCCCCCGAGTTCTGTCGCCCCAAGGCAAGATCCTGCCAAATTTGAAGCGCCTGCGGCGCCAGGAAGAGCCCTGTCGGGCACCCGACAACTTTGCTTTATATATATAGATAGAGATTAGCAAATTGCATAGATAAACAAAGATTTCAATAAAGTAATTAAGGCCTGAAATACTTTAGTATAGAAATGTATTATTTGAATAGATTCTAGATCTAGGTAGGGTCTAAATCTGTGTAAGTCTAGTTTTTTCAGTAGATCTAGATCTAGATCTAGAATCTCTAGATCTAGATGATCTAGATCTAGAATATTTAGATCTAGAATCCTAATAGAATTGTTTTTTTAAGTTTAGCCCGAGCAAAATTGTATTGTATACATTTTATAGCGTACGTTAACCCAGATTATCCCAAGGTCTCAAATTTTTATAATTTTTTGATATGGTTTAGCTTTTGGGCACTGAATGAAGGAATGACTATGGATTTTTTTTTTAAATCAATACTTTTTTAAATATCGATTTTTTAAAAAACGTCCCATAAATGGGACGCTAGCAACGAACGGCCCCATGTACATTTATTGAAAAATAAAATCATTTATCACGAAATATGGCTAATCACGCGAAAATTAAGCTGTATACTGATTTTGTATTGTTAGGCCAATGATTACATTGTTTAGGACAGCTAAAAATAATGATAATGATCAATTGGGTTAGCCATACCATGGTCTAAAATGCAGAAATTTTGTTCAAAAGTCTATTTTTCTTTCAATCTAGCATCCATCAAAGTGAACAACACTTGGAAATAAGTAAAGATGTGACTATACATCTAATTATACACACATGATCACACATATTGCTATTATTCATCGAAACTGTAATATAATTAAATATAAATAATTGATTTTTTGGGGGGCGTACTTGAAATTTTCAGGGGGGGGGGGGGCTTAAATTTCAGGGAAAGAAGGGTGGACATTGGTAAAAGTATGTTTTACATATAAATTCCATTTTGATCTGGGTGCAGAGCCCCCCCCCCCCTCCACCCCTCTCCGAAATGATGCCTGAAAGAAACTCTGCCCTAAGTGAATTTGCAAAAGACGATCCGGTCCAGTCCCAGATGTCATCCAGCCATCTTCTCTTTTGTTACCCTCGCTATTCCCCCCCCCCCCCCCCCACTCACAGGCGTACATTAGGACATCAGACATCTTATGTCTAGGGCACGGATCTGTTTCTGGGGGCTTGTATTGAGTGTTCATGGCTCTCATCCATGTATGCACCTCACTATGCGAACAGCTCCCAATCTAACACCAGGAATCTCCTTAAAAAGTTAACAAAGTAAAACTGGTATCGGGAACCTTTGGATGGGAATATTATTGGGGCATGACACTAGTACACAGCTAATTCACATTTCTGCTATATGTAGCTTGAGCTCTTATATGAAGAGTGTTAACCAACCCCATTGACTGAATCATTTCACCTCAATCGTGGTCATTGTTATTATTCTGGTTTGTTATAATTTTAATATCACGCGCTAGTAAATTTACAGCAATACTAAATTAGTTTGTATTCAATGGTATTAAATACTTCAGTAAGCGTAATTCTGAAAACTTAAAAATACAATGTAAGTTTTTCAATATTTGCAATTTTTTAATACAATAATATATAAGAAAATATAGCTCAAGGTCATAATTAAATATCTATAAATACTACTTAACACCCTAAAGTCAACAGTTAACAAAGTCAACAATTGTTTCACCATAATTAACAATTTAACATAAATATTTGCATCTGTGTTTCTCGCTAGTGTCCAATAAATGTGACGTTTGTGTAACGATCTACATGGGGCCATTCGTTGCTAGCGTTCCACTTATGGGACGCTTGTTGTACACTTGATATAACGAAGTAGTAAAAAAAAATTTTTATTCTTAAATTTTTATCAGATAGAAATATGGTACTGCTACAAGTTTCAAATGTATTTTGCACATAAAATGTTAATATTTCAGAAGATATGCATTTTCCTGTGCGCATGTTTTCTTTTTTCCGCTATTTTGGCAAGTCCTGCAAATCCGGCACTATAACATCTAAATTAATTTTTTTCACAACACACACACAAATTCAATAGTCTAACCATTTTCAAATACAATGAAACATAATTTGTGTTTTAACTAGTTTTTAATAAATTTTAGCAATTTTTTTTTACAAGTGTCCCATAAGTGGGACGCTAGCAGATTCTAGATCTAGGTAGGGTCTACATCTTTGTAAGTCTAGTTTTTTTCCGTAGATCTAGATCATCTAGATCTAGAATCTCTAGATCTAGATGATCTAGATCTAGAATATCTAGATCTAGAATCCTAATAGAATTTATTTTTTAAGTTTAGCCCGAGCAAAATTGTATTGTATAAATTTTATAGCGTACGATGATCTAGATCAGGGGTCTCCAAACTTTTCAGACCGAGGGCCGCATTGACTATCAAATATCAGTTCGGGGGCCAGAGTTTCTTCAAGGCATATTTTCGGTGTTATGGAGCCCCCCCCCCCCCCCCAAAAAAAAAACGTCCACTGCCCCGCCCCCCACTAAAATTTATAATATGTATAGAAATATATTCAAATATCAAGTGCCGCCCCTCCCATATATTTAGCACTCAAACCTTGCTGATGAATAATAGAGTGCAGGAGCATTGGTTGTAGAATATTTTTCTCATTCACTTGTCCAACCAAGCCTTTCTTTATGCCACTAATGTACTTTTCCCCATCATCAGTCAACTGAGGTTAGTCCAGTCCAAGTTATAATCAGCTAATGTTTTCATTAACTCATTGAATATATCCTCTCCGGTGACAGTGCCATACATATTATGTAGGGAAGCCAGCTCTTGTGTTATGTTCATGTCTTCATCCACACCCCTAATGAACACAAGCAGTTGAGAGGTGAAACAGCTGTCCAGCGACTTATCCATTGCAATTTAAAAAATAGTGAAACGTGCTAGCATTTTCGCTATTTGAGTCACGATGTTTTCACCCATGTCTGCAACACGGTATGCAAGGGTATTTGCATCCAAAGCTACATTTTCAAATTGTTTTGAATTTTCTGGGCAAAGTTCCTCAGCCATCTCTAACAGACATTTTTTTCCGTGGACAAAAAGATCTCCGCGGGCCGTAGTTTGGAGACCCCTGATCTAGATCTAAATAATATTTGAATGAAATAGTTCATTTCTTTTTATTCTAAACACGTCAGATGACGTCATTAGTTAATGTATAAACATTAGTGACGTCACTGTTTTATGCATTCTTTTTCACAACTATAAACGCTTTTCCTGTTGCATAATTATAACTGTTTTTCTACATTCGAATACGCCTTTATTTTTTTTTCTTCTTTAAATAAAATTGTGGTTATACATTTTTAAAAAGTCCGTAGCAAGTTATCCATATATCGCTGAAGATTCTGACGTGATATCCAGCGAAAATATTTTGCGGACTGACAGAGAGAGAGAGAGAGAGAGAGAGAGAGAGAGAGAGAAGTGCGCACAGGGACTTTTATATATTAGGATTAAGCCATTGATTTAGGTGGGTGTAGGGAAATTGCGAGACGCGAAAAGCGAACGAAGGCTCATTGGAAATTGGCTTTTTAAGGATGATCTTGTTCATCTGTATAGGGAGGAGCATACCATAATTCCGCCTGCAGTTAACCCTGATGACATAGTTGAAAGAATTACAACAAGAAGTAGCCTTAGTAACTGCACCCATAGGGAAGGACTGTTTGCCTGTTAGTTCAACTGTTGCGGAAAGGTCACAATTCGTGCTTGACAATGAACTGATAAGTTTAAATACTAAACTTTGTGTGTTCACCATTAAAGGTTCAACAGACCCCAGGGTGGTC